GAAACTATTATTATTCCTGCAACTAATAAAAAATATTAGAGTGGAATCAAAATTATTATGCAAAAAGACAGAGGTTTTATGATTATATTTGGTCATAGATCATACGGCTTCCCGGAATGCATAAAAACGGCCCCCTCAGTTTATACGACAAATATCACTTCATTAGATTGGTTGTCAGCAAAAAAATATTTTTCAAAAAGAATTCGACTATTTCCACATCCCGTCATTTCTCGATCATGCAATTGTCATACTGTTTGGTATTTCTTGTTTTGCAGTTATATGTCGCGCAAATAACGGTATGTGAATAAGATATTTCCTTTCAATATAGAAATTAAATATTTATAAAATTTTAATCATAGCTAAGGGCAAAAAGAGCTGCTTCGTATGAAGAAAAATTAAATAAAAATTATATTTTTCATATATATTACTTTGTTACTTCTAAATATTCGGCGTTCTGCGATCATTTCCTGCGCAAATACCAAAAGCGAAACACAAAAAGTTTGCGCATTGAATCGCTAAATCATTTTTATTGCATCGATCTGTTAATCCTTCTGTCTCAAATTGACAGTCATAATATAGCACAGTTGATACTTTTTCCAAATTATTATTACAATTCACCGAGCTATTTTTAAAACATAGAAGTGAATTGTTGCCATTCAAAGATTCTACGGTAATATCTGCACAATGCCTCTGATTATTGCTGCTCAAAATTCATAGGAAAATAATAATCAAATAATTAACATATCATTTTGGGTTATTTAAGGTATCAAATGAAGGCGATGAGGCAATACAAGCAGTAATAAGAAATGACGACGAAATAAGGACTGTGGCTGTCGACGGGAAAGCAAACGAAAAACGGTTCAAATGTAAAGTATGCAATAAACCGTTCAAATGGTCCTACGATCTGCAGAGACATAAATTGACGCACGGAAACGAACGACCATTCAAATGTTACGAGTGCAATAAAACATTCAAAGAATTCAGCAATCTGAAGAGGCACAAATTGACGCACGGAAACGAACGACCATTGAAATGTTACGAGTGCAATAAAACATTCAATGAATTCGGCAATCTGCCGAGACACAAATTGACGCATGGCAACGAATGACCATTCAAATGTGCTATGTGCGATAAAGCTTTCAAACAGCGCCGCTATCTGAAAGAACATATGAAAATACATACGGACCGAAACACGTCGAAATGTAATGTATGTAAAAAAAATTCAAACAGCGCCGTCTGAAAGAACATATGAAGACACATACGGACATTGAAAAGATGCTGAAATGCAACGTATGTGGTAAAGCATTCGAATACTGTTCACTTCTGCTGAGACACAAATTGATACACGAAAACATGCGACCACTCAAATGTCACGTATGCAATAGAACATTCAAAGAATCCAGAATTCTGAAGAGACACAATTTGACGCATGGAAACGTGCGGTTATTCGAATGTGAAGTGTGTGGTTGGAAATACAAACAGAAACGTAATTTGGATAAACACATTAAAAGACATGAAAGTTCGAGTGAAAAATTATATTCTACAGTAAGCTCCTTAATGATATCGATATCAGATATCATTGACACAGAAATATCAATAAGGGATATAATTACATTGGCAGGACTATAAATTATTGTATCTGTTGGCGTAAATTATATTTGTATTGTTTTTTGCCATTTGTTCTTTGCCTACTATTTCCTGATTGCATGTAAAAGTGATTGATAAAATTGGATAGAAATTTTAAATTATAATTTGATGAAATTTCATATTGCATTCATTTTTTCACATAAATTTTCATAAATTATTTAGATTCACTTTGCCAATATTCTCTTTATTATCAATTTTGCCTAATCGATTACCGCAATTTCTTACCTACGACCTTTTCATTAGTAATAACTGACTATTGCACCTTTTTCTCATCGTCAGTTACAGGATAAACTCTAACAAGTTGCCCTACTGGAAGCTCATCTTCACGAAATTTTTCATGGAAATTTTAACAATGATGAAATAAGAGAAAAGATAAGAATAATACATATAATTTCTTTATAATTTCCGGCGACAAAGGTGGCATCTATGGTTCTAAATATCGACGACGTGTCACCGCTCTAATCCAATTAAGAACTCCGATCCTCTTTGTATTTCATTTCAAAATAAATAAGATTCTTTTCCTAAATATTGTTTCGTCAACAAAGCAAAAATATTTTATCATTTCACTAAAGTTAAAATTCGAAAAAATATAACAAATAAAAGTAATAAAAGACATTGTACAACAGTGATAATTGATAAGCATATTAAACAGCGTGTCACAATGAGATTGCAAATGAACGGAATCTTTGAATGACTTTGTTTGTTTGTTTCTGTTACGGTAGCATGGTATTTTCGATGTTGATTTGGAGAGCTTTTATTCTTGACGTTATAATATAATTATTGGCAATATCGTAACTAAGTTGACCGCATTTCTTCTTATTCTCCTTTGTCGTACATCCGTGAGGCTATGAAATACCATCCCAACAAATTTCATAGCTTTCGGGTTGAAGAAAACTTACCGTGTTAGTTAATAAAATTAAGCAGTTATATATATATTGGTTTCAGAATCGCCGGTACATGGTGAGTACTATTCGTAGCAAAATAGATAACGTTGTTATGATGGTATTTGGCAACGATCATATATCCCTTTTAAAATTCCGCAATCGTGCCAAGAGCTATGGAGACAAAAAGTGTTCTGTCAGCAAAGGATTGTTAACATTTGTAATTAGTGACGAACAAAGCATCGTATTATATATCCTTTAGACAGAAAGGAAGCAAAATAAACAAAGGATTAGCTTAGCATTTGAAATAATTAAACGCATTTATGAGTCTCTGTAGTATGAATTGAATAAATGATAAATTTAAAACAATTTTCCGGAATCTCAAGCATTTCGATTATTCAGATATAATAATGCTGTGTTGGATTTAACACAATAATGCTGTCTTGCAAGAAAGAATGGATATTCAGAAGTTTTTTTGGATCGTATGGAAGCAGCAATACGCTCACCATATGTCTATACCAACAGATCATCAAAACGTGAAGTACGTGTTATTAAAGATGACCTGATGAAGAGAATAACACTCTCAAGTCTTGGAATGATTAGTAATTATGAAATGACCGATTGGGAAGATTAAAATTGATCTGTTTACATCGGCTGTCAAAAATTTTTTTTTAGAACTTTAGTTTGTAATTATTAAAACTTTAGTTTGCAATTGTACATTTTCAACATCTATATTGGATAAATAAAGCCAAAGCAATCAGTGATCAATCGCTTAATTTATATCTCAATATTTGTCGTGATTTTACTTTGATATAGCTGAGGAATAAGAGGATATTAGCAAATAGATGATTCAAACTTTTAAATTATCGAATCTTCCAGAAAAATAAATAGCATTTAAAAATTTTCGAATTTGATTTAAAACTCTGAAACTTTGATAAAAAAGAACCTATTCACAATTACGGATTTATCCATATTTATATGCGGAAAATACATATTCTTCTGATGTTTATGATTTACTAAGTATAAAATATTAGGTATAATATTTTATACTTGTTAAATCTTAGTAAAATAAATTTATAATTAGTATAATAAATTTCTTCTTTGCGAATGTAATTATTTCCTTTAAAAATATTTCTGTATCAATGATATCTTCTGCTATCGATATCACTAAGGAGCTTACTGCAGGATACAGCTTTTCCGAAAAACTTTCATGTATTTTTATGTGTCTATTCAAATCAAATGTCCGAGTGAATTTCCTATCATATACTTCACATTTGAATGGCCGCACGTTTCCATGCGTCAGTATGTGTCTCTTTAGAATCCCGGATTCTTTGAATGTTTCATTGCACACGTAACGTTCGAATAGTCGTTCGTATCCGTGCATGAATTGATGACTCTTCAGATTGTCGAGCCTTTGGAACGCTTTATTGCATACCTTACATACGTAATTTTTTCAGTATCATCTTATGGCGTTTCAGAGCGCCTGAATACCCGAATTGCTTACTGCATACTTCACATTTGTACGAATAATGCTTAAAAATTCTAATAGCAAATATTTGGGATGGTAATAATTTCAAAATAGTTTCGAACTTCAAATTATTTTAATAGCAATGCTTTATCGTTTTTTTGGTGATGATTACACATTACATAATTCTTCGAATGATTTCATTTTATTCGGAATTAAAGAGAATTGGTGACAATTCTAAACAATGCTGCCAGTTATAATCACATTTGCATGAAACTATTATTATTCAATGTAACTAACAAAAAATTTTGAAGTGAAAATTATTATGCGAAAAGGATTAGGCTTTTGTGATTACATGTGGTCATAGATCATACGGCTTACCGGAATGCATAAAAACGGTCCTCTCAGTAATACGACAAATATCACTTCATTGGTTTGGTTTTCTGCTAAAAATACTTTGACGATTTCTACATCCTATCACTTCTCGATTATGTATCTGCCGTATTATTTGGTATTGTTTGTGTTGCCGTTGTACGTCGCGCAAATAACGGTATGTGAATAAGATATCGCTTTCAGTATAGAAATTAAATATTCACAAAGTTTTTTACTTTAAGTAAGGATAAAAGCAGTTACTCTTTGTGAAAGAAAATTATTTAATTTTTCACTTCTTACTGTCACTTCTAAATAATCGATGTTTTGTAACCATATTTGATTGCTAAAATCACGATGAAATGCTACACTTTGTGCATTGAATCGCTAAATCATTTTTATTACATCGATCGGTCTGTTAATCTTTCTGTCTCAAATCAACTGTCACAATATAGCACAATGACACTTTTTTTCAAATTATTATTACAATTCACCGAGCTATTTTTAAGATAGAGAAGTAACTTATTGTCATTCAAGGATTCTACTATGATATCGGCATAATACCCCTGATTATTATGTTCAGAAATTACAGGAAAACAATAAGCCAACTATAAACCAATGATTTTGGGTAATTTCAGGTATCAAATGATCAGCGAATACAAGAAGGAATAGAAAATGAGGGCAAAATAAAGATTATGGCTAATAACAGTGAAGCAAACAAAAAACAGTACCGATGTAAGGTATGCGGTGTGCTATTCGGACTTTCAGCAACTCTAATAAACCATAAGATGATACATAACGATGAAAAAAATTACAAATGTGAGATATGCAATAAAACATTCAAAGACTCCAGTAATCTGAAGAGGCACAAATTGACGCACGGAAACGAACAACCATTCAAATGTCATGTGTGCAATAATACATTCAAAGACTCAAGCAATCTGAAGAGGCACAAATTGACGCACGGAAACGAACGGCCATTCAAATGTCACGTGTGCATTGCAGCATTCAAAGATTCCAGCAGTCTGAAGAGACACAAATTGATGCACGGAAACGAACGGCCATTCAAATGTTACATGTGCAATAAAACATTCAAACTGCTCAACGATTTGAAGAGACATAATTTGACGCACGGAAACGAACGACTATTCAAATGTCACACATGCAGTAAAACATTCAAAGAGTCCTGCAAACTGAAGAGACACAAATTGGCACACGGAAACGTACGGTTATTCAAATGTGAGGTATGTGGTAGGAATTTCATCCTGAAAAATGGTTTGAATAGGCACATGAAAGTGCATAAAAGTTCGGATGACAACCTATATTCTACAGTAAGCTCCTTAATGATATCGATAGCAGATATCATTGACACCGTAGTATCAGTAAAGGGAATAATTACAATCGCAGGACTATGAATTATTGTATGTTGGCTTAAGTTATATTTGTACCAACTTTTTTTCGCCATATGTGCTTTGCCCATTATTTCCTGATTGAATGTCAAAAGTGATTGATGATTTCTTTATTATTTCCGGCGACAAAGGTGACATCTATGATTGTAAATATCGCCGACGTATCACCGCTCTAATCCAATTAAGAACTGCAATCCTCTGTCTATTTCATATTAAAAATAATGAAAAAAATAAACAAAACCATTGCTTATTCTAAACATTGTTTTACTGTCTGCTGCTATTATCAACAAGGCAATAATATTTTTTCATTTCGCAAAAGTTCAGATTCGAAAAATATATAACACCTGAAAATATATAGCAATCAATTGAATTATAAAAATTTTAATTTCATTGAATGTAATATTACATTGTGATATTGTGATAATAAGCGATTACTGTTTGATCGATACTCTTCGCACATTTGAACATTGCTAACTTATTATCAATAAGCATACATTCATGTCACGAAAGTTAAATAAATATTAATTCGTGCATTGTTAATTTATTACAAAGACATAATTAAACATTGTTAACCTGTCCAACTATATATTTACGCTGCTTAATAAGCAATGAATGCACATTTGCACATCATTAAGCAATTACATATGGCGCTGTTGGAAGAGTCAGGAAATGCAGACTTGCTCCACTTTTAAGCTGTCAATAAATATACATTGCAATGAATATCAAATCGTTTTCTCTCGAATTTGTGACAAAAAATTTATTAGTATTCCTATGAATATTAATTTTTTTAAAGGTTTATTTGTTTTAGATTCTTTTAATTATTGTTTCTTTGTCTTTAATGAGTGTTTTTATTTTAATTTTTGTTTGTGCTTTTAACTTCTTAATTGGTTTAGTTCTTTATAATTTTTTAATTGCCTTTTTTAAGATTTATAATTTTTTAATTCTGGGAATTTTAGAATGGTTTATATTTTTAAGAATCGACTATAATTTCTATTTTATTTTGTTTACTGTCAAATAGAAAAGATCATTGCTTGTTATTATTTAATTTTTTATACTTTGTTCTTTGCTGTATCTTATTTATTTTTGTGTAGGCATGTTTATTAGTTTTTAATTTTTGTTTACTACCATTTATTTATATCTTATGAATTTAATCTTATCTTATGTTTGTGTTTTTTGATTAAGTTTTAAAATTTGTGTTAATGTATTTTATAGATTTATAATTCTCTAAGATTCATGGAGAGGTCCCTAATAGAATAAATATTTGTTTTAGCTAAATTAGCTACTATGCAACTAAATGAAATTAAATGAAAAGTTATACACCAATGAAATCGCTCTGAAATGGTTGTTGTCGAATAACGGAAAGTTTGCGTAGTTGTAATGCAGGCTTGGAACCTATCTGGAACATTAATTGTGGTTTAACACTCCTCGGAAATGCGAATAATGGTTGTATGATGTCTTTAAATATGATGCCTTTTAATCCAAAGATATATTATATCATTCTGTAGTAGGATGTATGCCATTTAAATTTTGAATCCATTTACCTTCTTCATAGAATAAAGATGTAAATTGTTGCAAGGATCTTTAAAATATCTTTGTTCTGGAAACAACAAATTAAAAAAAACCGAACGACAACATATCAGTCTTTTTTCTACTTTATTTTCATACATTATTTAGCATCTTCTACATGAGATCTTCATAATGACATGACATTCATTTTAAAATGTGCTTCAATACCTAAAATGGACTAAATATTATTTGCTTAATTGTTGTGTGATATATATAAAAGCACAATTCTTCTAAGTACAAATAAAGGAAATCAAATTCAAATCCATTCATCCAATTTCATCAATCACTTTAAATAGTGGACAAAGCATAAACGATAGAAAAAAATGTACAAATATAACTTAAGTCAACACAATACAATAATTTATAGTCCTGCGAAGGTAATTATTTTCATCATTGATATTTCTGTGTCAATGATTTCTCCAATCGATATCATTAAGGAGCTTGCTGTAGAATATAGCTTTTCATCCGAACATTTATGCACTTTCATGTGTCTGTTCAAATTACCTTTTTGAGTGAAATTCCTACTACATACTTTACATTCGAATGGCCGCACGTTTCCATGCGTCAATATGTGCATCTTCAGATTCTGGGATACTTCGAATGTTTTATTGCACACGTGACATTTGAGTGGTCGTACGTTTCCGTGCACCAATTTGTGTCTCAACGGAATTGAACAGCATTGTAATACATTACCGCATACATTGCATTTCAATATCTTTTCAATGCCCGTATGTAACTTCATATGTTCTTTCAGACTGCGGCGCTGTTTGAATTCTTTTTTACATACATTACATTCCGACGTGTTTCGGTCCATATGTATCTTCATATGTTCTTTCAGATAGCGGTGCTGTTTGAAAGCTTTATCGCACACAGCACATTTGAATGGTCGTTCGCTTCCGTGCGTCAAATGATGTGTCTTCAGAGCGCGGAAATCTTTGAATGTTTTATTGCACACGTGACATTTGAATGGACGTTCCTTTCTGTGTGTCAATTTATGTTTCTCCAGATGGCAGAACCATTTGAACGGTCTATTGCACACCTTACATATGTAATTTTTTTCATCGGTATGTATCATTTTATGGCGTTTCAGAGTGCTTGAATATCCGAATTGCTTACCGCACACTTTACATTTGTACCGTTTTTCGTTTGCTTTCCCGTCATCAGCCACAGTCCTTATTTCGTCGTCATTTCTCACTGCTGCTTGTATTGCCTCATCGCCTTCATTTGATACCTGAAATGAACTAAAATGATTTGCTTATAGAGTTGATTATTGTTTTCTGTGATTTTTGAGCAGCAATAATCACAGGCATTGTGCAGATATCATTGTAGATTCTTTGAATGGCAATAATTCACTTCTATGTTTCAAAAGTAGCTTGGTGAATTTTAATAATAATTTGAAAAAAGTGTTAGTTGTGTTGTTTATTTAAGACAGAAGGATTAAGAAATCGATATAACAAAAATGATTCGGTGATTCAAGTGAAAACTTTTAAGTTTCATTTTGGTATTTGCTGTAGGAAATGATCGCAAAACACCATTTACAATAAACAAGAAATAGATTAGGAAATGCTTAATTTTCGTTCACATGAAGCAGATGTTTTTGATCTTAGCTGAAATTAAAAACTTTGTGAATATTTAATTTCTGTATTGAAAGCGATTCTTATTCACATACCGTTACTTGTGTGATGTACAACGGCAAAATAAGCAATACCAAATAATACAATGGATACATGGTCGAGGAGTGACAGAATGAGCAATTCGTCGAAAAATATTTTTAGCAGAAAACCAATCTAATGAAGTGATATTCGTCGCATTAACAGAGAGAACCGTTTTTATGCATTCCGGCAGGCCGTATGATCTATGACCACATGTAATCACAAAAGCCTAATCCTTTTCGCATAATAATTTTCACTTCAAAGTTTTTTGTTAGTTACACTGAATGATAATAGTTTCATTCAAATGTGATTATAACTGGCAGCACTGTTCAGAATTGCCACCAAATCTCTTTAATTCCGAATAGAATGAAATCATTCGAAGAATATTCACAATGATGCATTGTGTTATCATCACCAAGAAGCGATAAAGCATTGCTATTAAAGTAATTTGAAGTTCGATACTATTTTATCTTTTACTTATACAATTATAATATATCAATAACGATAATGTATTTATATCTCATCATTTATTAATACATTAGTTATGCTATTTATATTTTATCATTTATCAGTACATCAATACAATCAGTTATGCTTTCGTATATCTATTGTGTGAAAGCATAATTCAACGTATCTCTAAAAGATAATAAATTTTACGACTAACTTTCTGCTAATTTAATTCATCTAAAATATAATTACATTGAAAAAATTTGCCATCAATCATATCCACACGTGTATATATTGAAGTATATATATAGAGTGTATATATATGAGTCTATTGAAGTATATATTGATAAAGTATGTATTGAAATATAAGCTACTATGTAACTAAAAAGTAAAAGATTAATTGAGAAGCGAAAAATGTTTCATTCTTTATTTACTATCAATGTTGATTTAGTAAAAAATTTCACAGACAAAGAGGTCAGAGGTGAATTTTTCCAAATATAATTAATTATACGATGCATAAAATGCAGCCTTTCTCCACAAAATTTCATATCTGATTAAATTTGTCGAATTTCCGATGATTGATTTTAAATTCTGAATTATGAAACAGATTATACTGAATTTTAAAAAAGCTTTATTTCATCGAAAATTAAAAAGCTTCATTTCATCAAAAAGCAGTATTCTATGACGTTATAATTCTAATATCAAATATTTTGAATGTTAATACTTTCGAAATAGTTACTGTAAATATTCTTCGAATGATTTCATTCTATTCGGAGTTAAAGAGATTTGGTGACAATTCTGAACAATGCTGCCAGTTATAATCACATTTGCATAAAACTATTATTATTCAACTGCAACTAACGAAAAATTTTAGAGTAGAGTGAAAATTATTATGCGAAAAGATTGAGATTTTATGATTATATTTGGTCATAGATCATACGGCTTACCGGAATGCATAAAAACGGTCCTCTCTAGTAATGCAACAAATATCACTTCGTTAAGCTGATTGTGTGCTGAAAATATTTTTCGAAAAGACTTCGACAAATTCCTTATTCTGCCACTTTTCGATCATGTATCTGTCACATTATTTGACAGTGCTTGTTTTGCCGTTGTACGTCGCCCAAATAACGGTATGTGAATAAGATATTGTTTTCAATATTGAAATTAAATATTCACAAAGTTTTTTACATTAAGTAAGAACAAAAACAGCTACTCCTTGTGAAGGTAAATTATTTGATTTTTCATTTCTTATCTATTTCACTGTCACTTCTAAACAATCGATGTTATGTGATCATTCATACTCTATGGTAAAAATCAAAATGAAATGCAAAAGTTTGTGCATTGAATCACCGAATCATTTTTGTTACATCGATCGGTCTGCTTATCCTCAAGTTAATAGCACAATATACCACAACTTATGCTTTTTTCACATCACTGTTGCAATTTGTCGGCCTATTTTTAAAATATAGAAGTGAATTGTTACCATTCAAAAGTTCTACAATGATATCTGCACAATACCTCTGATTATTACTGTTCAAAAATAACAGAAAAGCAGTAAGCCAACTATAAACCAATGATTATGGATTATTTCAGGTATCAAACGATCAGTCAATGCAAGAAGGAATAGAAAATGAGGGCAAAATAGAGACGGTGGCTAATGACAGTGAAGCAAGCAAAAAACAGTACCAATGTGAGGTATGCGGTGTGCTATTCGGACGTTCAACTACTCTGTGGAACCATAAGATGATGCATAAGGATGAAAAAAATTACAATTGTGAGATATGCAATAAAGCATTCAAATGGTCCGGCAATCTGAAGAACCACAAATTGACGCACGGAAACGTACGACCATTCAAATGTCACGTGTGCAATAAAACATTCAAACGGCCCCACGATTTGAAGAAACACAATTTGACGCACGGAAACGAACGACCATATAAATGTCATATGTGCAGTAAAACATTCAAAGTATCCAGAAATTTGAAGAGACACCAATTAACGCACGGAAACGTACAAGTATTCAAGTGTGAAGCATGTGGTAGGAATTTCATTAGGAAAGATGATTTGAAGAAACATATTAAAAAGCATAAAAGTTCGGATGAAAAGCTATATTCTACAGAAAGCTCCTTAAAAATATCGATATAAGATATCATTGACACAGCAATATCAATAAGGGATATAATTACATTCGCAAGACTATAAATAATTGTATTGTGTTGGCTTAAGTTATATTGGTACTGTTTTATTGCCATTTGTTCTTTGCCCGCTATTCCTCGATTGAATGTTAAAAGTGATTGATGAAATTGTACATAAAATTTTTAAAATTTGAACATTGGCTGTTAGCATCAAGAAAGCAACAATATTTTTCCGCCTCACTAAAATTAAAATTCGAGAAATATATAAACAAGTGAAAGTAACAAAACACATTGTACAACAGTGATAATTGATAAGCATATTAAACAGCGTGTCACAATGAGATTGCAAATGAACGGAATCTTTGAATGATTGCTTCTGTTATAGTAGCATGATATTTTCGATGTCGATTTAGAAAGCTTTTATTCGTGACATTATAATATAATTATTGGCATTATCGTAACTAAGTTGACCTCGTGGTTATTCTCCTTTGCCGTAAATCCGTGAGGATAGTTAGGACAGCGCTATGAAGTACCGTCCCGTCAAATTTTATAGCTTTTAGGTAGACTAAAGCTGACCGTGTTAATTAGAAAAATTAAGCAGCTATATATTGCTTTCAGAATGGCCAGTACACGGTGAGTACTATTCGCAGCAAAATGGATAACGTTGTTATAATGGCATTTGGTAACGATCATATCTCTTTTAAAATTCCGCAATCGTGGCAAGAGCCATGGAGACAAAAAGTGTTCTGTTAGCAAAGGATAGTTAACATTTGTAATTAGTGGCGAACAAAGCACCGTATTATATATCCTTTAGACATAAAGGAAGCAAAATGAACAAAGGATTAACTTAGCATTTGAGATAATTAAACGCATTTATGAGTCTCTGTAGTATGAATTGAATAAATGATAAATTTAAAACATTAAAAAGATGCTGAAATGCAACGTATGCGGTAAAGCATTCAGATATCGTTCAAATCTGCTGGGACACAAATCGACACACGGAAACGTACGACCACTCAAATGCCACGTGTGCAATAGAACATTTAAAGACGAAGACGCCAGCAATCTGAAGATGCACATATTGACGCATGAAAACGTGCGGCTATTCGAATGTAAAGTATGTAGTAGGATTTTCTCTCAGAAAAGTAATTTGAATAGACACATGAAAGTGCATAAAAGTTCGGATGAAAGCTTGCTACATTCCATAGCAAACTTCTTAACGATATCGATAGCAGATGATATCATTGATACAGAAATATCTATAAGGGAAATAATTACATTCGCAGGATTATAAATTATTGTATTGTATTGTGTTGGCGTAAATTACTGTTCTTTTGCCATTTGTGCTTTTTCCACTGTTTTTTAATTGAATGTCAAAGGTGATTGATAAAATTGGATAAAAATTTTAAATTATAATTTGATGAAACTTCATATTGTATTCGTTTTTTCACATAAATTTTCCTAAGTTATTTAGATCCACTTTGCCAATATTCTCTTTATTATCAATTTCGCCTAATCGATTACCGCACTTTCTTACCTACGACCTTTCACTGATAATAATTCGCCTTTTTCTCACCGTCTGTAACAAGATAAGCCCTTACAAGCCAATGATGAAAGAAGAGAAAAGATAAAAAGAATGATTATTCAAATATAAAACTTTTGACAACTGTTGTAGAATGTTGTAAAAAGTTGTAAAAAAGGTTTCGATTTCTTTTTTCTAACAATAATACAAAAGAAAAACATAAATACATTTTCAATAAAATATC